AATCGATTGCATTACGTAAATCCGAGAGACCCACCAAACTCAGTGACTCAAATAACTCAGTTGGCGACGTAACCAAATGGCAATCTAAACTTGCTGCTGCTGATGAAGTTAACGATATTATCGTTTATCATAAGCGGAAGCAATTTCTATTTACTGACACAGCAAGTTTCTCTCTAATGTGCTGCCTATTCAATCCAACATCAACTGCATCTAACCGTCCATTTTAGTGTTCCCACCAAGCAAATAAATGCTTTAAATGTCTTCGCAAACATTAAGCGAGAAGATGCCCTAATGCGGTTAATTCCACAGGGGAACTGCTTTATTGTGGTGTTCCGCTACTTGCGCCGTCAGGAAATTTATCCCAACATGCTGGGATTGATACCAGAAATTGCACGTTGAAAGCATCTAATGTGATGATACCAAGCGTTTGGATTTTATTACCGAGTCATGCAACGTAAACCTACCGCTACAATAGGGATCGAGTTTGAATTTCGCACCATGACAGAGAAACAATTTTCGTTGTGGCTTTTCAGAAGTCTACTCTTCATTTTATTTCCAACATTTGCATACTGTGGGCACACATTTTAACTCAGCAGCCAAATTTGCGCCAATGAAAGAAACTGAACGACGACAATATCGTGAAGATCTTCGTGGCACTCATGAAAATGTTGTCCCAAAAACCAATCTTACATTTGAATTGGTGGGATTTTACATCTGCCATGATGAGAATTTTACATGTCGTTTCGTATGCCAAGCGTTTGAAGTCAAAACAGATACATCAGTATCAGGCTTTCAAGCTGAAATTGCCCCCCCCCCCCCCCCCAATGGACACTTCGACCGTGCAAATTGCGCAGCAGTTTTTATGTGCGCCGTGATCCATACTAGATGGGGCACAAGCGATGGGAATGCCGCGCGAAACTACGCTTGGTTGTAGGTATTAATGCTGGTAAAGTCTCAAAACTCGATCTCGAGATCTGCGCGCGAGCAAGCCTAGAGACGTTATACCACTGATTGAATATTTGACGCACTCCAAGAAGTATAGATGCCGCGCCTTGCAGACGGTTCTTAATGGATATAAAGATCCAACTATTCTTATAAAATGACTTTCTTGTGTATGTATCATCCCTGCAATCCCAAGACATAAAGCCAGCGTGATCTAGTGCTGCCAGTATTGACAATCTCCTGTTTCTACTAAGCGGCAAACGAACAAGATCCTTTGTGATTCGTTTTGACAACACATAATAATGGTAAACTTGTCGGCCATCCTTCGACGTCTCATCGAAAACAAGAAATTACTCTGAATATGAATAAGCATCTTTCAGTGTAACTTTGTATGCATGCACTTCAAGTGACATAGACTCCCTTACAACTTAACCAAATACTTTCTCAACAAATTCATATCAAAATGTAAGACACATACATATAGTACTCATCGACACATTTTCACATTAAGGCATTCGTTTCGAATAAACTATTGCAGTTCCTCAAGGTAAAGTGAAGACGAGTTTTTACGTACTTTGGACCCTAGCTACCACGTCGTACGGGCTCCGCGGCGAGTGACTCAACTCTTGTCCCTTCCACCATACTGTCTTTCGAAAATGGGTGGTACCAAACCTGTAGTGCTCGGGTTTTGGCCCAAATATATCACTAACTTAGTGTATACAAATGCCTTACCCTCGAATTAGAAATATACCATGCCAATGAAATCATGGGTACATGCTTGGAAACTGGGCAACAAAGGTAGCTATTCATCCGTCCTATTTAAGTGTCTGAGATTTGGTGTCTATTTATGAGATATTATTAGCAAAATGAGGCATTGAAAACCAGACATGATGAGATGGATTTAAAAAGAAACGCTCCGTATCACCGTTTTTAATCTGTAATTCGAGCGTATTGCCATAATTGGAGCTTTCATGCTGAGAAGGTGACAAGTATTGACTCAACGTGCACTGTCTATTTCCACATCTGATTTGCCTTGATCGGTCCTGGGCTTCATGCGCTTCACGTCGTCATGCTGTAGACATACAGAGGGGCATATCCACGGCGTCGATTTCTTTGTCAAGTGGTCCTACATCGAGCCGATAATCAATAAAAAAAGTACAATGAAATAGAAATACAAGGCTCAAGTAGCAACCGAATCCATCCGTCGTCCGCCAAACGATTGGCAGGATGACTTCAGCGTCTATCTCAAGCCCACCAAGCACGCTCCACAACGTGAATTTCTCGAGTTGTACGAGGGAAATTTCTCCAGCCACGTCGCCAGATCTTGGGAATTAGCTCGTCTTCGCCTACACGGTCAGTCTGATTTTGTTTTAATGAACCAAAACCCAACACTGTTCGTAGAGCAACCGAGAATCGAATCCAAGAGCAAGTTCCTCGTGTAGCAGCTATGCTAGCTGAGCGCAATATTTCGAGTGGGCCAGCCTCACAGCTGACATGGCAACAATGCAAGCTCGACTTCCAGCTGACGCTCCACTACAAGTTCCCGATAACACAACATTTCGATAACTTCGGAACATTGATCAGCTTTTGCAGGAAATGGAAACAAATCAAAATACAACTCAAGCAATCGCTGACATGAATTTCAGAATGCTCAGGATCAAAATCCAAGGTGCAGTGATCCAAGTGCAAGTTCATGTTGGAGATCGCCAGGAAATTCTCGGTTTACCGGCCTACATCCTTCGTCCTCCGTTCCATGACCCGGTAGATTTTGAGACTTCCGCTCCTGCAGAAGACATGGATGATGTCGATCACTTTAACGATCAACTCTAAGGAGCGTAGTAGAGGTAGAGAGCGATATTTTCAGTACGAATACATGAATTTCATTAAACTCACTGATTTTTATACTGAGTTTGTTCCCATCGTACCCACAGTGGCCGTACAAATTTTGCCCAACTTTCTCAGACTGTCTAATG